CGCTCTTCTCTGCTCTGTGAGTTTAATCTGAGCTGGATGTTCCTCCCTGTTGTGTGCCTCACTATATTCCACATAACACACTTTCCCCTCCAAGAAAAACAAACAGCAAAGGTGGAATTTCTGGCAAGAGACTCCGGATGCTGTTGGCAGTAAGTGGAGGTGAAGCGCATCCAAACCTATTATCAGCCCACTGCGCTTGAAGCCTTTCTTTCACCAAAACAGCAGATAACGATAAGGAGTGGGGAGATTATGTTTATTTATTTCCCTTACTCCATAAGACAGGGTATGTTGGAATTTTCTTCATCCTTTCTGGGGGACTAACACAGTGTTAACAATCCACTCAGACCGGAGCTGAAGCTTGTGACACTAAATCTAATAAAGCACAGAAATGACATCAAGGAGAGAATTACAACAGCAGCTCAGAATTCAGCAAAATCATCCAAACCCTGCAGCGGTAATACAGTCAACCACCACTTCAGGATTTGCAGGCAAGAGCAGTCCCCACAAAATAATGAAGGGAGACTGGATTGATGCCAGGCATAATGTGTTGGACAAGTGTCTCTGTCATGAGCTAACTGCCCTGATTCTCGTTCGTCCTGCAGTATCACATCTAATCAATCTACAACATGCGTATCCATTAATTTATACAGTTCAGTGAACATTAAGTAAATGAACCACTTTGTCTTAATTAAAGCTATGTTGCTAAATAAACTAAATATCCTTCAAATTCGAATCTTAGTAGCTATATCTATGTTAACTACTTTATAAGATTTTGCCATCATTGTTGATTTTTTACCTAAATTTTATATTAAACAAAACTACTCTGAAAAATGATTTTCCAAATAGCCTTAATAATAAGCTATTGTTTTCCTGTCAGTGTGACCTACTTAAATGCCATATGAAATATAATGTCAGCAAGGTGTGTAGTTCAAACTGGATGCTGAAGGTTTGGTTCCACTGTAGCAAGACAAAAACTGGATGTCATAATCTATGTCGATGACTTCCGGCACAAATTATATTACTTTTACTTTTCAATGCCAGCTGATGCTTACAGGCCAAACATTTTTAAGCATTTAGGCTTTTTATTTTATTTTATTTTATTTTAAAGTTAGCTTACCTGTCTCAAATTGTTTTGACCTCCTCCTCGGCTCCACACTTGCTTTGTGATAACAAATCCAAGGTGTGTTGATGAAAAATGAAAAACTACTGAATAAACACTATCGTGGCTCTGCCCTGCTTTAATTTTAGCCTGCAACGAGACACGCGAACCACGCTGGCGGTATAAATACTACTTGTGTGATTACTAGTTAATTAGCGACTTGTCTAAACACTAATCATTAAGCGCGCGTTTCTATCACTAGACCCGCGCGCGAAGCATCTCCACGCGCTTTCTCCAGCGGCAAAGGTGGGCAGCTGGGTTTCCTTTCCTCCGTGAAGAGAAAAAGGTGAGTCGGCTCTGTCGGTTCTGCGGTAGTCCATTCAGGGTGGTTTCCCGTGGAGCTCACGTCGTTCCAGTTGGGTTGATAGGTTATGTGAATGTGTGGCGGAGAAAACAGCACCAGCGTCGCACCTCCATCCCCTCCAGTCAACTACTGCTGAGGAGTTCAGGTGCTGCTCGGAATTTTACCAGCTGTCTTGGTCATCGAGTGCTAAGTGAATACAGAAGTCATGGCATCTTATGAACAGATGCTCCAGTTGATTGTATTTATGGCTGCAGCTAAAGATTATATTCATATGGATTATTCTGTCAGTTACTTTCTTGTTTACGGACGAATCGCTTGGTCTACAAAACACCACAGAATAGGTCTATTGGAAAAAGACTGCAGAGCCTAATAATATGAAGTTCCAAATGTAAAGGTATGGCCGAGTGGCGGCATTGCACATTAACGTATACCTTTCATAGTATTGGATTATCATTTATTGTGTTCGTCACATTTAATATTGCAGCTGGGAAAGGTGGAGCTAATGTTAACTACCTTATCTATGCTGAGCAGTTTGTGAATGTCCCTCCAGGGATCCATTGTCTTAAACTTTGATTCAGAAAAGTAACTAGTAACAAAATTGATACATGCAGTGGAGTAAAAAAGTACATTATTTGCCTATAAAATGTTGTGAAGTTGAATTATGACATAGCAGAAAATGGAACTACACAAGCCCAGAAATCTCGAAATTGTAGTTAGGTACTGTAATTGAGTAAATATAGTTACTTTCCACCACTGTTTACTATCATAAAATACCAAGATAAAGAGCCTCACATTCACATTTTTTCTTGAAAAATGTTTTAAATGATAAACTGATCAATCAAGATTTGGGCTGGAGCTACTGATTTTTAAAGTTATCATGTAATTTGCCTAATATTTCCTTCATTTTTTGACTGAATTACTCAAAGCACAGTCTTTGTTTTCTCTGACCATCAGTCTAAATGCCACCAAACTAGCGTGAGGCCAAGAAGAGCAGCAAATTCGTACATTTGTATGAACTTTTGCTTCTTGCCTAATTTTCCGACAGTTAATCAGTGAATTGACTACTTGTTGCGGCATTAATCAAACTTGTTGCTGATTTTTTTTTTCATGTCAGTCAACTAAATGTTTTATTACCGTCAGACTTAACGTACATCTGTGCCTGTCATCAGTAAGCCATCAATCCATTAACACAGCCACACATCACAAATTATAACCTATTGCAGATTTTCTTATCAATGCTTTTAGTGTTTACTTGTCTTTAATAGTCTCCTAAATGTCAAATTGCCCTTTGTGCTTGTGGAATAAATTCATAATTCTGACAGCACTTCAAGGTGTCCTAACTGTTTCTGGAGGAATTGTGTGTTGAAGATCTGTGTGACCAACAGAGAGAGGGGAGGGAGCAAAGCCCCTCTCATCTGTTATGCATTTCCCTTTTGATTCACCAGCAGCCACTGAATCTTATTTTCCAGTATTTCTCCCTCAAAGCACTTTGTTCTGTGTTCAGCTGTGGAATGTGCTGGAGAACAGTTAATCGCACAAACCTATGCCTGACCTTGTTTTTCTCTTTTTACTTTTTTTTTTTTTTTTTTTTTTGCAATATCTAAAACTAGTACTGAAACATTCTGGTTTGTGCCAAGATTATACAATGCAGAGGTGTCAGTTCAGTCAGACATGCATCACGGCAGAGTCCCTGCAGAGTGGAACGAAAACTGATGGCTTGAAATTTATGTCTGTGTGATGAAATATAGGTCACTAAACTGGAAACACTGCTTCCAAGTTCACCCCAGTATGCCCTTTCAAAAATGTTTTAAAGACAACAAACACCAAGATGATCAAATTTAGACTCCAATCAAGGAGGGTATGGTAGATGTCATAATTGGACATTATAGACACTTTTCTATTTCTGTACCTTAAATGAACTAAATGCATTCTTAGTTTCTTTCATATATCCCATTATTCTACAATTACTTTCAAAAATACTTGCTGGTCTTGGAAATTTCTTTACTTTTCAACTGCTACTTCTCCCTGTACGCCTGGAAACAGTTTGTATTCAGTGACATGCAACAACAGCGTACAAGTCAACCACTCCCAGAAAGAACTGCAGGACATCTGTATTCAGGGTTAAACATCACAGCATTTACATAAATTCACATGAACTCTTTTAGATTTGAATTTACCTAAGAAATGTTACATTTAATTAGGCTTTACAAAATGACTTTTTTAAAACCAAACACTGTTACACAGGTAGTAAAATGCAGTACTTGCCCCACCTGTTGGTTATTTTGTGACAATGCAGGGTAAGCCAAATTTTTGTGGACTTCAGTAACTATTAGGGATACACATCTAACTCAAGGCTACCAGCTGCCCAGACCTTTATGCCCCCAGATGCAGAGTACAAAATATGTGTTTGTTCATATTAACACTAGCGATGTTGCTTCAGGGTAAGTCAGTATGTTAATGCAAACAGAGATGTGTATAAAAAAACTGCCAACACAAGCATGTTTTTCTTAGCTGCTGTTTTTTAAATAATCATGTCATCACATATAAATTCTTTCTATCATAAATCAATTTGTAAGACATTACAAATCAAATCCAGCCTGAAGTACAGAAGAAAAATACATTTACAAACATTAAGACAATGTGACACAAGGTTTCTGAGTGAAAAATAGTAAGGCACCAATGCCGACAGTGGGATAGGAAGTTACCAAACTAAACGAAAAAAGAAATCACCATTTAAAACAAGCATTAAAAATCTGGAGATTTTTCAAAATGTGCCAAGAAATGAAAGCAAGTGAAGCAATACTGCAAAGCATAAACGCGTTGTTTTAAAATCATTAGTAGAGCACATCTTGTGAAAGATTAAGATCATTCAAAGAGGATCGTTCCACTGGGTCTCTTTATATGGAAGCACATAAGGGCCAAAATTATTTGAACTTTAGAAGTGGCTGACTACCTACCGGGATTGGATACACTATCCCATTGAATTGAATGGAAAAGTGTGTCCAAACTTTTGACTCAGTCTTGTACTTGAGCATATGAGCCACCATCGGCATCGCTAGACCACTTGTACTGGGGCACGTGCCCCAGTGTAAATCAGCTGTGCCCCAGTAAATACATTCCCATATTTGTAAGGGTTTTTATTAGACCATTCTTCAGAGAAACTAAATGCAAGACAGTCAATGAACCAAATGACGCACGTAAAAGAAACACAAAAACAAAAACGTGCTGCAACTGCGCGTGGAAACTATGTTCCCGCGCGGCGTGCCCATGTATATCGACCACGCGCACGTTTCAAATGCCAATCAGCGTACGTCGCGCGACGAGCAGGTAAGATAATGTATGAAAACGCTGTGAAAGTAAAGTTTCCATGGTGCTAGCTATACTATCTGAACAATGACTAATTCCTCCTGTAGATGGATATCAGAAAATTCTTGTTGTTTCGAGGCAAAGAGAGGGAAGCAGAAAGGAGAGATGAGTTTGAGGTAAGTAAGACAAATGTTGTTGACAAATGAGCTATAGCTAACGGGCTTGCAGGTCTGTGTGTAGCTGTGAACGGTCATTCAGCGCACTGAGACGACTCCACACTTGGCTGAGGTGCACAATGGACCAAGACAGGCTTCACCATTTTACTGTCTTATCAGTTGAGCAGGAAGAACTTTGTAAACTGAGTGAGAGTCAAGTTATTGACAGGTTTGCCAAAATGAACAATAGGCGCTACACTTTATTGCACAAAAAGGGAACTTATTCTTTGAAAATGAAAAATGACATCTGATAAAAATTAAACCACTTTTTTTCTGAGGGAGTACTTATTAATTATTCGTGTGTACTGTATAACTGTGTAATGTACAACTGTATCTATCTATCGATATATGTATGGGGGGGCCTGTGCCCCAGTAAAGCCTCAAGTCTAGCAACGCCCATGTGAGCCACTACTGAATAATGAAATATTTTACTTTGAAAACCATCTATCTGAATTTATTTGGTTTGAATTCAGCGCTTGGTAATCACATAATTTCAGACAAATGTTTTTCAAAATAAAATACAGTATTTCAAAGCTATCTATTCAGTGGTATTTAAATAATCTATGTATAAAATAGTGACTACATTTCACATCCTGGTATTCACTGCAAGATTAAACACAGTATAATTTTAGCCTTTATTTTTTGCTTCCATATTAATTTGCAGAATGTGGTTTTAACCTTAAAAATATAAAGGGCACGTTAATCACACTAATCAAAGGATTTGTGGTGCTCTGAGGACAGTTTGCTTATTAATCCTTTAGTGTGATTTTTTTTCCAGTGAAGAGTATTTTTGTCACCAGTGTTCCCCATTCGGGCAGAAACTCAGGTAATACGTAGAAATGAAGGTACACAGAAACCAACTTCTTCACTGATAATAATACAGCCTTAATTATGGAGCTCGTCTGCCATCAGACACCCACTGACAAATAATCACACTTTAAAGCTATTTACTGCACATTCCTGCACACCTTCTGTTGATTCAACATCACCACTCCCCTTTTTTGCAGCTTGTCAAATGGCGAGACATAGTTAACTTACTAAAGTAAAATCAAAAGCAAAAGGTTGTGAAAAAAAATAACAGCTACTAATTATATGACGTATCCCCTGTGTGCCATTGATCTTACTGTCAGCCTTTCACACAGTGTGCTTCACTGTTGTGCTGTAAAGCCTGTGCTTTGGTTTCACTCTTTTGGAAAGCATCATTGCAACAAAGTCCCGACAGACTGGTTTGAGATGAGCTCAGCTGGCGTCCATCACATCCCTTTCTGTTTTAGAGAAGGGAATGCAAAGAAGACCAGAGCTATCAGACACAGACAAGTTACTTTATTCTCTAGAACTAACTAAAATAATGAAGCGTAACAATCCAGAACAGTATTGCTCACCATAGTGGGTTATTATTTGAATAACCCCATTGACACAATTTCTCCCCGACTATTGATACAAAAATAGATAAGAAAACATCTACTGTATATAAAGTACATGGCAGACAATCAAGAAGTGGGTTATCTTGTTCTAAATATCAGTCACTAAACTCAGAAATTGTCACATCCAACAAGAAAATACAACAGCTACCTATTTCACAGTCCCCCACACCCCCTTTACTGTACCTCTCCAGTCAATGCACGCACGCACGCACACACACACACACACACACACACACACACACACACACTTGGTAAACACTACACAAAGCTAGCTTTCACCACAGGCACAGTAAAGAGTATATGCATTTTCTGTTGTCTGAAAATTAAATGGAGAAATTGTCCACAGCTAAAAATACAACCCATCTGCCTGTACACATTCTGCGGGTTCGTCCGTACACAGGGTGTACTCCTATGAGGTCTGAATTTCATTCAGCAAGGCTGAGTGGTGCTTTACTCTGTGTGCTTTCTGCAATTATTATTAATTATGTGTGCTCTGAGGGTGTCAGTTTTTGAAGTTGGTCCACAAGAAATGTGTGAACTGACTAAACTATAAGGCAAGGGGGATGTATGTGTGCGCAGCAATAGCACGTATACAGCACCAGAGCAGGTTAAAGTAAAACATATGTTTTCCTCTCATTTATCAGTTGTACTGCTGTGATGTGTAGGTTTGTTTTATTCAAGAGATATTTGTAAAAATAAATCTTAAATTGGAAACATCCTATGATATTGTGACTTCTGAATGGCGGATGGAAATTCAAGATCACAAGCCACCTCAGGAACTACTACACCTTTCTATAAATCAGTCAGTGAGAGCTTCTGCAAACTGCTGTTTTCCAAAAATATCTGATATTTAGAAATGCTTTTTTTGTTTTTTTAATCTATCTTGGAGATTGCTTCTGAACTTCATGTCAACATCAACGACGACGTTGCCGCTGTCAGTGATGTCAGGTTATTTGTCACAAAGTTTATGTACCTGAAAAAATGTCTAAAATTATTTTATTGTTTTGCTCACTGGAGGATCAGACAATGGTGAGATGTTCCACCTCGGTAGTGTTGACTGCGAGAGTGATTCAAGAAAGGGGGAAAGTAGTAATTCTGACTTAACTCTTAAATCATACCTCCATAAGTTATTATACTGTAGGCTTATTCTAATTGGTCAGCGCCCACTAGGTCTTCAAAATACCCTTCAATGTGTCTCCATCTGCACAGCGTCCTGCACAGGTTTGAACGCAACCCATAATTGCTATGAATTTACAGAAGACACTATGTGTCTTAATGTGGTGAAATAAGCTTTGTCAAAGTAATAATCAACATTTACAAAATGATGATTTAAGCTAAATCGCAGCTATGTTCAACTCAAGCCTGACTTGTTTCACTAATGTCTTTCCTGTATGGATGAACTGGTGCATTTGAAGTTTCTAGCCCAAAAATAATGACAAACTAGTGACGGTAGCTTCATGTAGCCACACCTCTGGCTTACAAACAACAGACATCTGGTGAAACTCAACCAGCTTGTTTTGATTACTAATGCAGCACGTGGCACCGGTGCTGCCCAAATCCAAGGAAATCTGATCCATTCAGTGACCAACAAGTCTAAAAGAGCCATGTGTCTAAAACCAACAAGATGTCAGCACAGGTTTCAGATGCACAGGCTCAATGGGCCAAAAAGAGCAGAAGCATGAGGAAGTCAGTGACCACCTTTCATAGGAATAAATGATGTGTCACACATTTCCCAGTTCTCTTTAATACACCCATGCTGTCCTGTTTACAGTCATAACAAGGAATTTTCTTCAATGAGCTAGCTAGCAAGAAAAAAATGGCAAGGCAGTTACTGATATTATGAAACTTACTTAAAGCTCCTAGAAACCTGGTTTAAAACAACAGTCTGAGTTAAAGTTTGGAAAAAGAAAACTATTTTAGTCAACATTTATGATTATTAGGATTGTGTGAGTGTGGTGTGTTTAAACTACTAGTAACATGAGCAAACAGTTCCACAGCTGTCATCTGATTTTGATTTCAAATGTTGCTCAACTCTGAATGGTGCATGGAAACACTTGGCATCACCTTCTCCAAATAATCTCTGCCCACTTCAATCCAGTGAAGAACATAAACACAGAATCCCTCTCTGTGGAATAACCAAAACTATTTTAACTTTAAACTGTTGTTTTCTTTACATAGAAACCAACCTCACATAGTAAACTGAGAAAACTGTTTTCCAGGGCTGTTAACAATGATGATGCAGGGTCCGTGACAAAGTAATTAATAATTGACCTTCTACTGAACAATGACAAAACAAGTCCTCTCGCTTTTAAAGGGACCTTATTCTTTTTGTTAACCATTAGTTCATGACAGAAACCTATTCTACAAAGGCAGAAAAACCAAGTGAAGGGCCACATTTCTGATAATCTGCTCAGAATTTGTAAATGAAACTTTTATGACAAGATTGTGGTTAATCCTGATGTCAGTTATTTGACCTTGAGGTGTGGGTACACAAAATTATTATGTTATCCAGAACCTGCTTCATGGAGCAGGCCCCAGCACAACCAGTTCAACTCATTTGAAAAGAAAAAAAAAAAAAGAAAAGAAAAATTGTGCAATCTGCAAAAACTCAAAGGCAACCCATGAAAATAATGACATCGCATCACAAGCTAGATGACTGATCAATATCTATCAGGGATTTGACAAACAGAACCATGAAAATGCTAAGCTATACTATACCAAAGTGAACAAAACACATGGGTTGGTTCTTATTTCACCCTGAACATCTTTCACATGACTCCATCTTAGGTCAACTTAATTTCTTGCCCATCTGGGACGGCAACTGCTCTGTGCGGTTACCCTCGCAAACTATCTTCACTTACTCTTCTCTGCTGTTATGACTCCAACAAACTGTGCCAGCGGCAAACCTGCTGTCCTTTTGACTCTTTCATCTGTGTCCAGTGGGTGAGCTCCTCCTCTCCAGAGCTATTGAGGCCGAGCGAAATCCAACCAATCATCTCTTTACGCTTCATGCTGCGCTTGTTGTACACGGAGAGGATGAGCGTGACATCTGATAGCTGGAAAAGGGCTACCTGGAAGACAAACGTCTCTTTGTACGTTGGGTTGGGCTGGCCTCGACAGATGGAGGTCTTGCACTTGGACATCTCGTGGCCCATGGAGTTCAGCAAAGTCAGCTTAACGTATGTGTCTAGATGAGAAACGGGTGTAGTAGACAGTTACTGTAGAGGGGAAATGATGTAAATCTTCTGACATTTTTCAATGGTTTACAATGCTAAAACATTTGCTGTGTTTCCTGCATAACTGATCATTTGTGCAAAATCCTTATGTCTCTCCTATGGATTCACTTTGAATTCAAGCATTACAACTTACTGCAGCTGTTTCCTCTGCTGCAAAGAATGACACATTTTCCCCGCAAAAGCATAGTTCTTGTTAATGTCACTGCAGTTGATGTAAAAGATCATCACCACATAGGATGCGGTTTTCTCCTGATCAAATATAAAGCAGAGCTGTGAGTGTTCCTGATATCAGAAAGCAAGAACTCAAAGGGTGCACAGAGTGTTAATTCAGTCTTGTTGCTATGCAACTGGTATATGTCTAACCTGAAGAAGGGGGTAATACTGAAGAATAAAATGGACTAGGAAAAGTTAGTAATGCATCTGCCTTCACTTATAGATGATAGAGGAAACAAATGATAAAGGTCAAATGAATGCTCCTCATCAGGAGAGTCCTCAAGGAGCTGCTGTTATTTTCTCTGACTCTGACATAATGTCATTGTCAAGATACAGCTGAAGCCAGACGTTAACATAGACCTTAGCCAAATGCATTTAAATATTTTTCACAACTCAGAACCCAGGGCAGTGACCCAGAATGTACTCAGTCAAAAACGTGAATCACATTTTTGGAGGAGATGCGCATTTGCTGCAAAAAAAATTATAATCTACAAAAACACACAAAAAACACAACCTAAGTAACTGGTGCATGGCAATAGTATTAATCTTTGAGATGAGGCAAAGAAACATTTAGCTTAGGTTCCTTATAATCAAACAGAGAACCTAACCTTTGGACATGTTTTACAGTATCAGTTTTCAAAAATTTAGCTTAGAGCAGTTATGTTCCTGATGAGCGTGGTCTGTGTGACGTACTCCGTCTTTTATTTCCAAGCTGATTCCCTTCTATTTTATTGTAAATCAGTGCAGATTCCCAAAAAAATCATTCCCAATACATCCCATTTATTTAACCCGAAAGAGAGAAAAGGAAAAGGAAAAACACTGCCATCATCAAGTGATTCAGCGTTCACCGTTTCCTTATTCATTCATTTCCATGCAGAGGCTGAAGCGCAAATCCAGCTGAAAGTAGACGAGGCAAGACTGGCAATCACAATGGGTCTTTGAGAGTGTTTCGCCACTCGTCTACAACCACACTCCGTAATAATGCTGTGTATTATGTTCCTGTCTGAGGAGTATGTGGAATGAATTGCCAAGGCTTTCATGCTGTCGAGTGCCAGCTGCCTTTCAACGCAAAGCGCACCGCCTTGAATCACACATTCAGTTGCTCTCTTTGACATAAAAGCACAGTGAAAAAAATAGCCTTGATTTCTTTTTCGCCTGGTGCTGAATGGGCTCTGTAGAGCTGTGGATGTCTTAAGTGGTCAGTAGCGGTGATGCATGGCTCTTTGGTATTGTGGCTGAATGAGAGGGGCTGCGACTGATGATTCACTTGACTCGTGGCTTGGTACTGTTTTGAAATGATAGAAAAGGAGCTTTGAAATTGCTCCACATCTTTCCATCACACTCCTTCCACTTTGTAAGACGCACCAAGTCAATCAAGGCCATCATAAGTATTTTGCACAAAGATCTTTTTTCAGTGTTACCAGATGTGACTAAATGCAATTTGAAGACTATACAGTATATGCATAAGCTATTCAGGAATGCACAAACAATAATCTAAAAAGTCTAACAGCTAGTCATTAGTTGCAGACATTCATGAATGCAAGGAAACTGGCAATTAATGGTAGGACAGTACAGTGTGCCTTTTAGATTAACATGTAAGATACTCTATTACAGAAATACTGTTTCATTTCTGTTTCATGTGCTGTAAGCAGAGCTTCAAAAAAGGGAGATGCATTACATCTAATGCATGCTAGCATGTATGTTTGAATTGAGCCAGCAGTCAATGATGCACAAGATTTCCTTCTGGTTGGCCATCAGCCAGCGAGCAAACCAGATTCAGTGAGCATGAAAAGTGTTACTTCTGAGTAAAAGACTTCCAGGAATCACAGGCACAAATGCACACGACATGTAGTGAAGAGTGGTAACAGGGCTGCATGCATTACAGCAGATTCACATTAGCATATAGAGAACAAAAGTAACGCACAAGCGATCATCTTCATGGATGAGTGTTACAATTTTAAAGTGTATGTGTGGAGGAATAACAGTGACATATGGAAATGAGTAGACATTGCTATCGTTCCTCTTGTGCCTCTGACATAATTAGAAGTATTAAGTAATGAAGTAATTTTTATTTTAACCAGATTTTAATGAAACACCCATATATTTTCTTTTTAGTTAAGAAGAATATCAGTCTGCTACAGCCAGGAGTCTGTTAGCTTAGCATAAAGACCAGAAACAGAGAAATAGCTAGCCTGGCTCTGTATAAAGGTAACAAAATCCACCTATCAGCATTTTTACAGATCACTAATTAAGATTAACATAACATATCATGTCTGTTTTACCTGAAAAAACAAAAAAACTAATGTAATGGAGGTTCTGGGAGTTTTGTGCTGCTCCATTTCTTAGCCAGTTGCAGTAATTAGGGGGGGTTTAATTCTCTGTCGTACAGAGGCAGACTAGCTGTTTCCATCTATTTCCAGTAGAATCTATCTCAGAGGAAAAATTAAACATATTTCCTAAAGGCTGATGTATTGGCCAAAATGAAATAAACATATCAGGGTTAGAAGGTGCCCCTGGCAACACAGGAACATATTTTTATCATTGCCTCTTGTGCTTGTAAATCTTTTGTTGTCACATTCTTCTGTTTTCACATAAATGATACAGTTTCTATTTCTATTAAAAACATTTTTTACAAGTAAACATGTAGCGTAGAAACCAGATAAATACATTAAATTGTTAGAATAGTGGGAACATGTAAATTCTAAATTTTGGCAATGCTTTGTGTTTGATAAACTGCATCCATGAAGATAGTACGTATAACAAGGTTCACAGTTCTACACCAATGGCACCTCACTTTGCGGCAGGGACAGAAACTCACCTCTGATAATATAAACCTGTCCACCTATCAAGTGTTTTAGACAACAGAACAGCCCATCTGACAACAAGGTTTGGACAGCAGTAAGAAAACAACGGACCAAAATGTCAAAAATGTAGTAGGGTGAGAGAATTTCAGATGTAGACATTAACAAAAGGTGCCAGGAAAGAGAAACAGGGTCAGAAGGCCAGCAACACTGCACAAAGTTCAACATCAAGAGGCAGTTTTTGCTGCTCTGAACCCTGAAAACTAGCTGAGGAGTCTGACCAGGACAAGAGGTAAACCAGGGGTCAAACCAGAGGGAAACTGAAAAGCAGGTAGGGCAGGAGAGATAGATCAGACTATCTCATATTCAAACAAACAAGCTGTGCATAGTTTCACTCTGTCTCAGTTGTATTTCAACAAAAGAAAGCACATTATATATTAACATAACAATGTGTTTAATAATGAAGCTAGACCATATATATTGGTTCAGGATGAAAGTTGCATTATGACTGCCTAGACAGAAATCCCTGTGCATAGACTCAGCTTGTCCTTTTCCATGCTAGTGTCTGAATCAAAATACTAAATTGTTACACTGTTCACTGACATCAAATAAAATGTTTCAGAGTACTTACTGGGTGGCTTGTTGGCAGCCAGGTTTTTGAAATGGATGCCTTTGATGACCTCCACAGAGAGACGTCCTGTTGTGGCATTGTACGCCAGGCCCACAAGGATCTCTGGTGTATTAGTCTGACTGATGGACTGGAATGATGAGGCGCTTTCACTGCATGTCATATCTGAGAGGCTGATCTGGGATTCATCACCCTGTGTGGTTTTACAGACATTCAGAAAATTGTTCACAGGGAGACAGCACTTCTAGACAGTTTTTTACTTGATGTATCCAAATCTGTGCTAAATCTTAGTTAATGCAGCTTTAAAAACACTGACTTTTCAACACGTGGAGAAATCCAAAGCTTGTCAGACCTGCCATGTTGAGCTACAGTATGGTTCCTGCACTATGACTGGACATTGGTTCAAAGTCTGGATCTCTACATGTTTAAAAGCTGACACACTAAAATTATTGTGAGAAACAAAACAAAACACACAAACAAACAAAGAAAGGTAAAACTAAAGTCATGGTGAATTCCTTGTAGAATAATAAATGTGGTCATTTTAAATGCTGGCAAAAGGAAAACAAACCACCACAAATAAATGTAGTTCTTTCATGTAAAATGGAGGCAGGGCTACAATATTGTCTGTTCCTTAGAAACATTAACCTAGTGAGCAAAACAAAAATAACTGTTTCACCCAACAAAATCTTGATCTCCAAAATATAACCTCATGCTGAAAACGTTACCCGGTTGTATGACAGATCAATCAACATGGCAGAGCAATTAGTGAGGTGTTGAGCAAGCTTCATGGATCCTACTTACTGGGAGAGCACAGCAGGGCACTAATATGACTGGCACAGACATTTTGCCCTGAAGGTTGAGCTTGGTGAGGCAGAACACCTTTTCCCCGAGCACCTTCTCCTTCTTCATCCGTCGCATGCTGTAAAGGCGGAATCGTATGGCATAATTGCTGATCATCTCTGACTCCACATGGCTAAAGTGGAAGGTCTCGGTGAAGATGGGGCACGGGCCTCTCTGGATTCCTGTCTTTGCCCTCTGCTTCTTGGTGGGCAGCAGCACCAGGTGGACCTGCCAGGAGATATTGCCAGTGCGTTTGACGGCGGGAAGGTCCGTTACTGCCATGATGGTCACTGCCAGCTGCTGCTCCTCTGAATCGTAGTCAAAAACCACATCCAGTGTGCCATATTTTGCAAGAGGATCTGGTTCGTACCCTTTAGGGAGCTGTGCTGCTGATCCACGAGCTGACATATCCTAAAGAGCCCAGTGAGATGTTCAGTGTGCAATAAAAACCTCAACATACATTTTCTTATCATATATTGTACCACTGGTGTTTACCTCTGGGCTGAGGATGGCGGTACTATCACTGGGTACATCCTCCTCGTAGCCCTTGTTGAGGTAACTCGCAGTCTCGCTGACATCGCTGCCCTCACTGGGGCATTTACCAAAGGACATGAGGGGACTCCCACTCGTGTGGGAGAGATCACACTTGGTGTCGCCCAGGTCTGACAGTGTGCAGGACATCCTTGGAGAGCCATTCTCATCCTGATAGGGTGGTGGTTGAAGCTCATCCAGAGGCGGTGTTCGTCTCATCCGCTGGATACAGTTGGCTGTTGGGAGGGAATCAGGGTGCATTTCAAGGAACACAGCAAACAACAATATGCATCATCACTGTATCATATGACTTTTATTTGAACAATGCAAAGACAAGTCAACAGTGTTTCTTGCCCTTTATAAAGGCAATTCATGCTTTGTGTGTCCACATATCTGCGAATATCAAGTGACATAATTTTCGTTATCTTCTCAGATCCACAAGGGTCCATGCGGACTCTGTGCTGACCTCCGCGTGCAGGCCAAAAGTTTGTGTTCTTACACATGGTCTGAACAGCTAAAGCCCTGACTGCGCATGTACCAAAATGCTTGGAAATTGTTGACATACATGGAGCCTCGACGCATGAATAGGAATGTGTGTGCACCTCTTGTCTGTGTCCGCATGTGCACAAGGGTATGCACAAAGCATGAATTCCACTTTAGCCACACCAGCAGCAGTGCATTAGCAATGGCAATGCTGATCAGTTGTTCATACAGTTTACCTACTTTGGTCCTGAGTGAAATTTCGCACCAACTGTGCAAAAGATTACTTTAAAATTTGGTACAAACATTTAAGGCTCCCAGAGAACGAATCCTACAGAATTAATGCTATGGATTGGCACATGTTTTGGTAGACATTTAAGATTCCTTTGCAATGTATCCTATTGACTCCTGGTGGTGACTCCTGACTAGCGCCACCAGTGGGCTATGTCAGAGTGAAATATCTCAATTAAAAAAAAAAAAAAAAAAAAAAAAAAAAAAAAAAAAAAAAAAAAAAGCAACACCTGCTACACATTTAGTGAAAAACAATAATGCACTCTTACAGAGCTACTGGGGTGGCAGCAGACACTTCAGCTGAGGTAGGTATTTGTATAGTACAGTTTATTATAACAACAACAGGCTGAAAGGAAAAATGAAGATGAAGGTGAAAATGAAAAGAGGATGACTAAATAAACTGTATTGTGCGGATTTATTAAAAAATACCTTAAATTTGAAATAAAACCAAAAGTAAACACATCTTTAGCTTTGATGTAAAATATTTCTCTAAAATTATCTGAAAAATTGTTTCGGATATGTGACACATTTTAACTTATAGCAGCTTCTCTAACTTTTCATATCATATGTAGATGTCTCAGTTTTATTTTAATGATTTGGTGTA